CTTTTATATTAGAGCTGTTATCTAAACTTTATGAACAAAGGAATGTGATCTGGATATCTTCAGATAGAAGATATATTATATAACCACAATTCAAGTGGGATGGGGGGAAGCCTTGAGAAGCCCACTGTTATTAATATAGTTATAGTTATTAATTATAGTATTATTTGAGGTGACAACAGGTGAGGTCATAAAAGCAAATAAAAACCATATGCGGCCCATCAACCAAATGTCTGCAGAGTAAATAAAATGTGACAAACACCACACAGTAAGACAGTGACTGCTTATCAATTTACCTGGGACTGAGACAAGTTTCTGCAGCTCTGTCTTCAGCCTTGTGATTTCTTTGCAGAGCTGGATGTCATCCATCCTGTAAAACAAACCAACTGTGAACAGGTGTTTTGCAGAAAATCAGCAGTGTAAAAAAAAGTATAAACTAGACTTCCAAATCAGCTTATTTAAAGAATATATTGACTGAAATAACTAGTTATCTCTTCAAGGAGCTTTAAAAAATAGAATACAAAGCAATTTCCTTCCTGACTTTACTTACAAGCATCAATGTAAAATTGTACAACTGGACACTGACTTTGGGCTCTGACGACAGCGAGGTCTGTGAGTTTATTAGCTGAAATAACACTGCCACGCTGCCCTTTGTGAATGAATCACACCTGACTGTATCAGATCTAATTTCCGTCTGACACTGGTGCAGATTTGAAAACATTAGGGGTCGTTCTCTCGAGTGTTTGTGTGTGTCCGTGGGCAGCTATTACAGTGATGGCAAAAAGAGGAAAATGACTGTGATATAAATATGAACTTGTGGTTTAATAAAATAGGTTTCAGCGTACTTAGGAAGTATACAGTATATTCAGGATGACTCAGATGCTGCCACTCAGGAGTGTTAATTCAAAATGTATTTGCATGAGAGTAGTCTTATTTATTTTGCTTAAATTATGGTGCCGTATCAACTACCTAAAGCAGGATCTCAGTAGAAAAACAAGAGTCTACAGCTCTGTGCAGACTCTGTGCAGCAAGCATATACGGGACATTTTTTGGGAGGAAGAGGAGGCGCTGAATACCGCTCGCCTTTCAAGAGTGTAGGAGAAACTATGGTAACTCGTAAAAACGTAAAACGCCCTATCAAACGGCTCATTCTAAAGTAAACATAACAATTCTCATTTCCAGGTGATTAGACACTAATGAAAACATACCTATGAATACTATATTCCATTTCTGCCAATAGATCCTCTTAAATGGACCTTTAATGAGACAACCGGTTATAACCTTTCATATACAACCTCACCAGTACAGAAATGTCAAAGTAATTTGTTTTCATATGATACAGTTTTGTTGTTTTACCAAGTCTGCCCGCAGTGGCTGAGCTTCAGTTGCCGTCTATGTTGCCGTTGATATAATACATGTCAACACATGCAGGCCCGTGGAGATGAGAAGGAAAACAATCTCTTATTGGGAGTGGGATTGAGCATCACTTTTCACCCTCTGGATGCGGGGGATTATGGATGGAAGTGGAAACATGATGCGAAACTGATGCATTACATCATGAACCACAACACTTATCAGAGTGGTAATTTTGAAGGCTCGCACAGCAAAACAAAACACTGAGCAAAAGTCGTTATTGTCCGTTTCTCTGATTCATCATATGGACACATTATGCAGCACTGGTTGCTGTTCTTAGTCCCCGCTCCCCCAACACCATCCTCATATGTCAAAAATAATGAGGAATTCAAGGTCTCGGCAGAAAAAGAGTGAAATAGTTAAAAGCAAGGATGAGAGAGAAAGGAGAAAAGGGCATCTTTTGAGATCTGAAAAAAAAGGCGGATGTGTGTGTGTGTGCTGGTAGTCTGCTTAGACCTTACATAGCACTGCTGTTTTCTTCACACATTTTTTGCCATCATGCACATGGCTGCTCCCAGTGTTGGCTGACAGCCATCTCTTATTCCTGAGGGGCTGTTAAAAGTATCTGTGTATACAGCAGAGCTTTACTGTATGTGTGGGTGCAGTTGCCCAAACAGTGGAACGTCACATGATAGGTGAAAAGCAGGTATTATCCTCCTGGGACTAATGTCATCATGTCATCACTGTGTCAGTATCCAAACCAAAAACAACCAAATAAGGCAGTATTTACAGTAAAATCTCCGTTCTGTCTTTGTGTCTGCGTTTGAGATGTGTTTAAATGTAGTGAACATGAGAGGTGCTGTTGAAGAAGCAGATCTCACATGTATCTCAGCTCTGATTCTCTCCGTACGAGGATGTCTCTTATCCGCTCAATTTTGCACAACTCTCCTTCAATTTCCTCGATCGTAATTGTGGAGTCAGCCATCGAAATGACGTCGTCTGCTGAAAGACAGACGAGACCAAAACACAGTTATTTGCTTGTTTATTGCTTTATAATGAGATTGTTTTTACAGACACACTTTTTTAGATTCAAAGACTTTATCTTTGACGTACCTTCTGTAAACTACCAGCAACAACAAAAAATACAGAGAAAATCCAAGAGCAATATATGTTGCACAGCAACGTTATTGTAGTTAAAACTAAAGCTAAAACTGTTTTTAATGTTGTAACAATATTTATTCTGCCCTCTTGGCCAGGTCACTCTTGAAAAGGAGATTTTAGTATCTATGAATCAGGATATATATATATAAAAGTAAAAATATCTTTAGATAAACTGTTTGGTCGAATTTGTCCACATTTGGAGCCATTGGTATGTATGTTTAATGAGACTGGGGTGTCTACATGAATGTGAGTCAGTGTGTTTATATTGTAATACCTTATCTGAACTTCTTAAATCTTGCCTGTGACAAATACCCCCCATATAAAAAACAAAAACAAAAATAATACTTAAAATAATAAAAAACTAAACTAAAAGTAAATACTTTTTTAAACAATAAAAACTATAATAGAATTAACAAACCCAGTCTGGAAACTAACTGGAAAAAAACTAAATACAAATTAAAACGGATGAAAAAAATACAAAAACTATAATAACTCTGGTGAGCAGACCCTAACTAGACATCTATGGTTGATTTAAGGTGCCTAGCAATTCCTCCTATCACATCATGTTACTGATACTGCTCATCGAGAACTGCCACTTTAACAATAAGCAGTTATCAGCTAATAGTTCTGTAATATTTCAAAGTAAATCCATCAAAATGCTGCAATTCAGTCGACTTCTCACTCAAATTGGGATTATCCTCGGCAGAGCAGAGGGAAATTATGAAGCGTGAACAGCCTTCACAATGAATTCATGATGGCTTGTGAGAAGGGACGTTCACAGGCTAAACATGGACTGTGTCTATAATAAACTGTTACAGCAGACATTTTGACGTTTATCTGCAGGGAGAGCACAGGTGTAAAGTGATTGGTGGAGGTTTAAAACAAACTGAAACTCGATTTAAGGGATCAAATTAAAACTAGTTGAATTCTATAGTGTTATTATATATCTTTCCATTGCGCCTTAAGTGTACAATTGCTTTCATGCAGTAATTTATTGCACTCCTAATGTCCAATAAACTACCTGTCTTGGTTATTCAGGCTCTCAAGAGACTCTTGAGACAGATAAAGGAAAACTTAAATTTCATCTACCTAAAAATCCAAAAGCAAACACAAAAAGCACTCTAAATTATGAATTAAACAGTCAAATTTACAATGATCATTGTTCAGCTCCATTAATACTGCCCTAGATCAAATTCACCATCCTGTTATGATCTGATCTGAGCTCTAGACTGTGGATACCCCCCAGTAATTCTTAGAGCATCACTGAATAACGGCCCCCGCCCTCCCAGCCTCGCACTCCTCACTAGGAGCGATGAGTCATCCAGCAGAGCCTGAATTGGCTTTTAATTACCCGACCTCGTGTGAAACGACATTACAATCATACACACTGAATCGCTGGGGATATCAGGGCTGCACAAACACACAACCTCCCAAAACACACTGGTGATTCCACAACTTTATTCATTTGTATGTGTATTACCACATGTATGCACACACATTAATTATCAACTGGTGTCTTGGTGTTTTATTGTGAAAACAGCCTGCATGCGTTCCTCCTTTTGTTTGCATTATTCTGCTCCAAGCCCTCCGACAGTGTCAGAATGATTATTTTCCTCTCACACTATCACTTCCAATTTTGGTTTTCTCCTTTTATTTCTTAAAGCCTGCATATCGTTTCCATACAATACAGCTGTAGTAATACTGCCACACCCTTAAGTCACTGTTAAAGTCAACTATGTGATCCGTGTTGTATATAATAGAAAGTATTAAAATAAATGTGTGCCTGTTTGTGTCTTTGTAATAAATATTGTATACATGATATTACAACAGGAGGGGAAAAAGCTTGTACAGTGGGAATAGCAGAGAACCAAGAACTGAGCCTTGAGGAATGCCAAAAATAAAATCTCACAATCAAGCTAAAGATAGTAGCGTATTTTCCTAGGAATTTACCTGGAAAGAACCATGTAATTTGCTCCAATAGGGAAAACATAGGTATATTGTAAAAAAACCAAAAACAAACCCAAACCCCCTAAAACAAGTTAATAAAAACTTAATTTATTACTGAATGCATGTTCAGCTGACCTGTTCTGCACTAAAATTAAGACACTCCGCATCAATGAATTCATTGAAACTGCAGCTAAAATGAGTTGTTGATGAACTAAGTTGTCTGAAGTTATTTGAAAGTATACTACTGATAATCGATTAATCATTTCATTTTTCAAGCAAACATAGTCTAGTTCCAGCTTCCCAAATGTGAGAATAAGTTGCTTTTCTTCATCTGATGTGACATTAAACTGAATATCTGTATATGTTGGACTGTTTTTGGGTGTAAGGACATTGTAACATACATCTTTCACTATTTCCTGCCATTTTATAGACAGGTAGTTGCAGCCCTGATTGCATAAATTAAAAAGACCAACTGAACACTGTAGATTTTTATATAATTATCAACAAATTTCAGGGAACTTCTTGAAAAACTTAATGAAAAAATTAAAGTGGAAGCCATTGTGAGGATTGTTACGATTGTATGAAAACAAAATTCAGACCATGGATACATGTAGGAAAAAAGTATGGCCTTTAAATTAATAATAATATTCCCAGAAAACATAAATAAACTGTTAAATTAATAAAAACAAGCTTTACCTCCACAACATACTACAATCACTGGGGTTTATAAATCCAAGCCCCACCACTGACGCCCTTCAGGATTTGTAAAATCCTGTCTACGGCCCTGCTGACAGATAAACTTTAACACGCTCACAGTGAGGATCTGCAGGGACCCGAAGCTTTAATTCTCTCATCTGAAAGTTGGTGCATCAGCTTCTGTTACGGAGTACTCCATAAAAAAACACTGTCCAAGCATGCACATCCAGTTCAGTTTTAAACACAAAACGTGTGCGGTGGACGCTTCGCAAAACTCACTTGATTTCTCCGTCTCTCTGTCCACCTGCGTCTCCTCCAAAGAGCCGTACTGTTTAGAGGATTTCCTCTCTTTCTCCATATTCTCCAAAGACGGTCAGACACTCTGCGCAGAAAATGTGAAATAAATATTTGTGCAGCCTGAAAAAAAAAAACCGACCGAGTCCATGCAGCACTGGCCTGACGTGTGAGGGGATATAAGGAGGAGAGCTGCCAACAGAAGCTGAACCTGGATGTCAGCACGGAGGAGCTGATCTGTGCTGAGAGGCGCCACCTGCTGACAGATAGGACACACAGCAACAGCCCGAAGGATAACTGCAGCATTAATGTTGCATTTGACTGTTTTAAGGTTGAGCTCATTTTAATCACTTTATTTACTGTTTGTTTTACAGCAATGCATCATATTCTATAAGAACTTTATATGTTTGTAGTGTCACTGTCCTTTAAGCACCATGCATCTCTGAAAAGCTTCATAAGATAATAAAAACAACCCTGACTTCCAGCTTTGTGACAATGAGTTTTAAATAGTTTATTTAGCTTAGGAGACCTTTCCTGAACTCTTAAAGGAACACTTAATCATTCAGTTGATAACAAATTTGGGGATACATGGTTTAAGGGTATAAAAAACAACTAAAGCTTTTAAATAAAAAGTATAAAATGGAAAGGAGCTGCCACTGTGCCGTGGGTAGCAGTGTCCCACACCCTGGTACATACTGAGTCCACTGGGTGTAAAAAGCAGAGGGAGATCCGTGTCTTTAGATCACTTGGATCTAAAACAAACATTTATTTTGGCGGCTGGTATCATATGGAATGTAAGTGTCAGCATAAATATTTTTATTTATTGCAAATACTCAAGAAGAGCTGATGCTGGAGTCATGCATCAGGTGCTTCGACAATACAAAGGGGTTCATTCTGTTAGCGTGGTTAGATTACTCTTCACAGTACTCAGGTAACATATACATACATGAACTTTCTGCACAAAAGAAAGTCAGGGAGCCTTTTATATCAGCATTCATTTGATATTGATAGTGCATAAACACGTGTCAAAACTTGTTTCCTAATAGGTCAAAATGGCCCATTTGACATGAGGTATGTTCAGCAGACTCCCTTTGAAACATGGGTTAGACAAACACAGTTGCTTCCTGATGTTCCGCATGCATCAGCTCACAACTGCACAACACAGGGCTCATATCGAATCATTTTATCAGCTCACACAGTCTGGAGTCCGAGTGAGGCCGCAGACACAGTGAATGGCAAAAAAGTCATTGCAGTGACTTTAGCAGAAGATAAACAAACTGGGTGTGGTGGTTGCCAGTCTAGTTCAGCCTCACCTTGTGCACACGTCTTGTGTTTACATTCCTAGTAAGAAGCTCCGGTGTTTCTATTGTCATGATGCATACAGTAAGCTGCTGAACTCGCCTGGTGGTACAGAGTCCTTCTTCTGCCCACCCATAATCTTGCTCCTTTGTTTGCTTTATAAAGCAATGATTGCTTATGCAAATGTGTTTTGTAAAGGCTCAGGTGGCTCGGAGATGAAGTCCATCAGTGCAGCCGACACTTTAACTGCAGACTGATAAAATGGCAAGACAGCTGGAATGCCACAACACTGAATTCTTTAATTAAACTTGAAGGAAATCAGCGATCCCACTCTGGAGTATGCTACTTGATGATAAAGAGTGACATGTCTGTACCTGAGAGTTGAAACCTGGTGGGGAATGATAATTCTTATTTCCATATTGATAGAAATGATTCTATGATTTGATTTTGTGAAGGTACGTCCCTTCTATCTAGGGACTATCTCTCTGCTCTCTTTTAGTGCTTTATCCTCCGTCCATTGTTGTTATTGCCTCTGTCTTCTTCCATGGCTTTATCAAGCCAGTCTCTCTCCTGTTCAGACTCAGAGTCACTGGCTTCACTTGCATCAGCCGCCAAAAGGCGAGAATAGTTAATCCTGCGCTGGCGAGGGGCTTTCCACTGGAGCAGAGGCAGACACACACACCACAGCAAAAGACCCACTGCCGCTCCTCTGAACAGCCACGTCAGCCCGAACCTCTGCACCACAAACCCACCTGCAACGCTCCCCAACGCGCTCCCCAGGCGCAGAGAAAGCGCACTGTAGATCCTCCTCACACTCCTCTCAGCCCCCGGTGTGGCGACATCCTCACACTGGACCTTCACAGCCCACCAGAGGGCCCCACTGCTAAAACAGCTCAATACCTGAGCAGGCAGCGCAGCCCACGGCCCCCAGAGGAAGGAGTAATAGAAGCACTGAAACCCGAGACTCGCGGCCCCCACAGCGAGCACCCTTCCCGGGCTGAGGAGCTTGGACACTCGGCCAGCCAGCAGAGGGAAGGCAGCCTGCGAGAGCAGAGCGAGGGCTAGAGACAGACCCATGTGCAGCTCGGTGCTCCCGAGATCCTGCATCTGCCACAGGAGGAAGTTATCCACGGCGGACCCTGCCACCCCGACCGACAGGGTCGTGACTGCGCAGAGCAGAGCGCGGGGTGAGCCACGCACCAGCTGCATGGCTTTGAGGAGCCCGTTGGCCCTGTCTCGCTTCTTATTCAGGTAGAGAGGGAGGTAGGTGGCCGCAGGCAGGGCCAGAGCGGCCACGCCGGCGTAGCAGTAGAAATGCACCGCGCTCCGGGAGGTGTGCCCGGCTATGACACAGCTCAACTGGCTCACCAGCAACCCCGCTCCTCCGACCCCGCACGCTGCTCCGAGCAAACCCCACACCCTGGTGCTGCTGTAGCGGTCCGAAGCGTCTGCGTAGTCTAGATATTCGTACAGCCCGTCGTCTGCGGCCCACTCCAGAGGGGCTGACGAAGACTCCCACACCGACACAGTGATGAGTATCAAGAAGAAGAGCTGGTGCAGAGGGTCCATCACCTTCAGGCTGCCCAGAAAGTCAAAGTTGCCCTCCCTGTCATCCTCCTCTGTTGTCTTTTCTCCGTGCTGTTCTCCTGACTCTGATTTGGACTCGGACCTCTTGTGTCTCAGTGGAGCCGCCGCAGAGCTGGTGGGCCGGTGTACGACGGAACCACTGATCTTTGGTTCCCCCGCACTCTTGTTGACTGTGTTCTCTTGTGACGGCGGAGGGTGCGATTTCTCTCCATCAGGCTGATGAAGTGACGTTTTGCTCGTCACAACGGGAGCAGATTCAGTGTCAGGAAGTGTCTCTGTAGGCAAAGTGACGCCAGACTGGGAAACAAGAGCTGTGTTGATTTTAGGTTGAGTCGTAGGGGACAATATGGACGGTCCGACGCTGCTCGTGAGCAGGTTACCACCCACATTTGGGGTTGGGCCGCTGCTCAGATCAGACGCGTTGCAGGCGCCGGTCTGTGTGTTCACATCTGTAGTTGGGATGAGCAGAAGAACCAGAGCGACCGCCGCCGAACACACCAGAGAGCCGTTTATCACCACTCGCCTCTTGTCGTAGTGTTTGGAGAGCGCGCCCGCGACGGGGCTCCAGACCACCGATATGAGATGTTTAGTTCCCATGACGATGCCCGTCATCGCTGGAGTCAGACCCAGCTGTCTGAAGTACAGGGTGAGGAAGGGGAGCAGGCAGGCTCTGGAACAGGAGCACAGGAAGTTAAAGGTGCCGGCCAGCGCGAGGGCGCGCCTGACGTCGATCTGCTTGTTCCTCTTCATGACTGCGAGCAGGTCACGCTCTCTCCTCACATGGAGCACCTAGATGGAACATGATACATTAACACACAGCACAACAGGCTGATCAGTACTCCTATTCTCAAATCATATTTGGTAACTTATTGATAGTTTATAAACCATGGCGTTTGTTTGCAATTCAAGGTTTAATAGCTACGATTAGTTTCATCATCAAGTAAAGTGTGTTGGTATTTATTTAACAATTAAGAGCATAAATGTTAAAAAAAAATGTGAAAAAAGGCCCCCGGAGCTTCCCAGCATTGAATGTCTCTTTGTTTGACCAGAACCAAAAGATACGCAAATTACAGTGATGTATGATCATTTTTTAGAGGAAGCAAAGAATATGTGGCACTTTATCTACTGTTTGTGCTTGAAAAACCATTTGATTATCAAAGCAGATGCAAGTTATTATTTTTCTGTCAATCAACTAACTGTTTCAGGTCCAGTTCTTGACTTTTTAAATGCACTTTAAAAAGTGAAAGCAATGAACAGAGCCTGGTGACACAGCAGTTCCTCCTTGTTCAGTATATATAATGATAAACTCA